CAAAACTCCCTTACTCTCCACTAGCCCTTCCTTATTTGATACCACTTATTTTTAATCTGCCTCCACTGCAGATTTCTTCTGGCTTCTCTATGTACTAGAGATGACGTTTTTCCGCAGTTCATAAAGATACAGTATTTTTGAAAATCACCTTTTTGTGCCTTCTGCAATGCATTGTATTGTACTGAGCAATGTACATTATCCTTCTTCCTTTAGGAAAAAAAGCTCTAGGCTTTCCCTGTGAAGGACTTGGTCCATGTTTGCAAATCACTTGTTTCCAACGCCAATCAATAGGATTTCCATTTAGCTGTACTACGCGCACTAGTTATATATGAACCTCCGCTATATTGAAAGCAGTCGTGAGTGCAGACCAGCCTAAATAAGACACTGTCTTGATTAGATGAAGGTTGGCAACTTCATTTGCCCAGTCATCATACTGCATTTCCAATGGCTATTTAGAAATGCATCACCATGAACTTGCTTGGAGTAATTGAATATAATTGTCTTTTTAAACCACGAGTGTAAAAACATCCATCTTGGTAAATGGCGTGTGTTGCTGCTGCTTCTGTTGCCAGCTCACTGCTCTCTTCAACAGGGATGGGAACAGGAGGCGGAAGGGAATGCTGATATTTATGAATTAATAGTTGTTTGCCTACAAAGCTATTCATTAATTTAGACCAAGCGTCCCCAAGAAAATTAAAGGGCTAGCATATATCACTGTACCTCCAGAAAACATGTATAAGCAGTAAAGAAGCCCCAGCTGAAAAGCTGAAGAGGGAAGCCACTGAAAAAAATTATTTGCGAAGCCAAACAACAATTGCCAGGTTCTCCAATTTAATGAGAACCTAAAAGCAAAACTGGCTGGAAGCAAAAATGAAACCGATGAGTATCCTGCGTCTCCAACTGGCTTAAAAATAATAATAATAAAGAATACATGGTCGAAATGGAAAAGAAATTAATTAGATGTTTCAATTGCTGTCGGCACTGATATCTGAAGCATTGCTAAAGAATTTTTCTAAAATGTTGGCTTTATATTCATTGTATCCCAAAGAGAAAAGCAAGGCAGGAAGGGATCCCACCTTTGTCATGGAAGGAATAGTCTTGCAGATGAATTATTGATGTGGCCTTGGGAGTCAGAAGGTAAGACCTTCAAACGGTTAGTTAGAAGGTAAGGCCTACAGGGCCAGATTTTCAAAAGACCTCAGCACCCCGTCTTTCCCACTGGGCACTGAACTCTGTTGAAACCTTGGCCTAGGCAGCCCATGATGATGCAAATACCCTATATTTATTCACCTACCACAGTTATGTTTCTCCTGAAAATTAGCCGTCCCAAATTACGTATTTTAAGAGAGTAAACTGATTTCTGCACCAGAATAGAGGCAGGGGAACATCGAACGATGGCAGAAGGCTGTGCTTGGCATTGGATCAACTAGGGCTAGAGCGTCCAGCTGCATGGAGCAGGGGCAATGTCCCATAATCAGCATCACTCCTCCTTCCCTTCTACCTTGCTGCAGGGCCCACCGCTACAAGTTTAACCTTCTCACACCTCCTGCTGACTTGCCAGGAGTTGTTGGCCAAGCGGTGGTGGGGGAGGATGCATGCTCCGTGTAGCTGGAGTCTTCCTCCCTATGGCAGAGAAGACTGAAAAAATCTTGTTTTGCTTCAATTTGCCTTCCCAAAATGAGATAGATGTGTGTCTTTTGTGGGGGGAGGGGTGGCATATGGATAAATATGGTGTTTAACCTGTCTGGCATAGAGATGGCCAGCAATGTCATGCAGCAGACAAGGGCAGGAGGACAGAGGCATGCAATTTGATTATGTAAATGTGCAACCCTGGTTCCACGTAGGGCAACGTAAATACTCTCCCTATACAGCCCAGATGCATGTAATGGCTGTACCACACAGACTGTGTGAGAGACTGCGGGACTTGAACCTATTCAGCCTCCACAAGAGAAGGCTGAGGGGGGACCTGGTGACCGTCTATAAACTCACTAGGGGGAACCAGAAGGGTTTGGGGGAGACGCTGTTTCCCCTAGCCCCTGCTGGCATAACAAGGAATAATGGGCACAAGTTGATGGAGAGGAGGTACAGATTGGACATCCGAAAAAACTACTTCACAGTCAGGGCGGCTAGGAGCTGGAACCAACTTCCAAGGGAGGTGGTGCTGGCCCCTACCCTGGGGATCTTTAAGAAGAGGCTGGATACTTACCTGGCTGGACTCATTTGAGTCCCGTTTTTGTTTTTAGGGTGAGTGGTTTTGTTTGTGTTTTTGGGTTGTTCTCCCGCCCTGGCGGGGGGGCGGGCTAGAAGATCTATTAGGTCCCTTCCGACCCTGAAACTATGAAACTATGAAACTATGACTGAACCCGTGGCTTGTAGAACTTCCTGCATGCCTCTGGAGCCTTTGCAACTGTTATCTAGTTGTCACCGGTACTCGTGAGAGCTAAGGACCCTCTGAATCAGTGAGAAAAGCCCAATGCATTAGGTAAGGCCCTGAGCGCATGGAACTGAGAAGAGCCAGACCAGCTTCCAAGCTATCAGAGCAGTAGCAATTTTCTGGGAGATCAGGCAAACCACTGAATTATCAAGCCAGGCTCCAGAAAGCTATTTACATTGGCTGTGTCTTGGGCAGAACAGCAGATTTATGATGAGCATTGTCCTGTGTATTAATAATACCATTGGGGCGATGACTGTTAGGCATCAGCAGGATTGTGCTGCATTTCTGCCATGGAAAAACATGCTTGGGCACATCTACATGTGCATGAACGTGACGTTTTTAATGCACGTAACATTTAGTACCTCCAATGCAAGGTCCTCAATTAATGTACGCTAGTAAAATACAAAATATGAACTTTCATTTCTACCCAAGAGAACTTGTACAATCTTTTCTCCGATGCCTGAAGAAGGGTGCGTGTGCCCTAAAGCTTGCAATTAAAGAACTTTTTTTGCAAAAATCTAGTTGGTCTAATAAAAGATACAACCTCTGCCATGAGTTTTGACTCCTTTTGCGCATTTGCATGCTTTTTCAATGACGCTTAATGTGCAGTAGACTATTTTACTGCACATTAGTGTAATGTCATGGTTTTTTACGTGACACTTTAATGTGCAGTAAAATAGTCGACTGTGCATTAAAGCACATGTATAGATGTGCCCTCTGTCTCTTAAACAATTAAGTTTCTTCCATGTGCCTTTAGTTAAAATATTCCAGACACTCCGGTACTGTTAGAGGGGCTGGGGAAAATTCCTGCCTGCAAAAGAAAATCCTTAAGGATGCACATTTACTCTGTTGCATTACTTCTCGGGAGTTTAACAGTTATCCTACTGTGTCCTGACATTAGGCAAGCTACAAGTGCTTTCAGTATATCGGGTACCAGGCGCTGCCAGCTGTCTCCCGTACCACTGAGAGTAAGTCGGCTGTGGAGCCTTGAATACTTTCCACCTTGACTACCTTAGCTCAACTCCACCCAGAGGAGTTGGCAGGAGGATTGTTTTTGCACCGTGTCTCACCTCTCCTGGCAGCAGAGCTGACGCGGTGTCTAGATAAGCATGCTATGCAAAGCTCAAGAATCCAAGATTGAAAAGAGGATAAAATCCACAGATCCTCTTATTGCTATGCCAGGGCGCAAGTATAGGGACGGTTTCTGCAGATTTGCTAGAGCTGAACCTAAAGGACCAGATCGCCAACTGGTACAGATCAGCGTAGCTCCTTTGAAGTCGGCGCTTTGATATCAGTGCGGCTGGGGTCGCAGCAGCAATAAGCTCAGGTTTAAGTCTCTTTTAGAAAAGAGTCTGGATGCAGTCAATGGAGCTGCATTGACACCAGCTGAGGATTGGGCTTATGCCTTGAAGCTGTAGCTTTCTTCCAGGGGATGTTGCTTCCCTGCCCACCAGAGCAACTGCTGTGGATGGTGGGGGCCGGTTACGGTGGGGTGTTTGGTTGAGGTGATTTTTATTACAATAAACTCATGTTTTACAAGCTCCAATTTAGCAGACAGTCTGGCGAAGACTCTGATGCCCAATGTGAGTGGGAAGCAAACGTGCAAAAACTGCAAAGCGTACACAGCCTGGCTTCTTACTGTTTTAAATCTGATTTTGGTTGCAAAAGTGGAAATGGCCTATCAGTACAAACCAGGTGATGAGTCCTATTAAAGGACTGTCATGTGGTGCAGTAACAGAGGCACTGCTAATTGCATTCCTTACGGCTTTTGTAACTTTAGAGAAACCAGGCAAGGCCCTCGGCCTGCCGTATCGGAGGCAGCACGCAGAAATAGCCCGATGGCTTTTCCTTCGGTCCAGCCAGGCTCTGAAAGGTTTCCTCTGTAACTTTTGGGGTCCATAATAAACATGAAAGCCGGTGGAGTTAATCAGTTGATGTAGGTGTTCTGGGCCCTCCGAGATCACTTCATCTTTCCATCAAAGATGAAACAAGCTTCTCAAATGAATAAAAAATAGGGCTGCAAATGATGACAAGGGAGAGCGATTTGGGCTCCATCCTCAGAAGCTGTGCGCCTCTGCCTGTCTCCCTGGCCGACGTTCATCCAGTTCTCGCTGTTACCCTCTTAGGTAAATATTTCCATCCTGATTCCCGCTCGGTGTGTACAGACCTTCAGGAAAGGTGCAGCTGCTGCTCCAGGTGTTGGGGACGGTGGCAGGTCTGGTTTCTGCCAGGCTCTGTCGAGTCTGATTTGCGTTGCAAGTCTAGTTTTCTGTGGTGCTTCCTATAATCTCCCTGAGTTCAAAGAGCGCTTAGCTGCTTGTCTTTGTCAAAAACCCTGTTGGAGATCTTTTATGTTGAAGATGTAGGATTTCTCCGAATGACTTTGATTATTTATTCATTCCACTTCTCTGGTGTATGATAGCGCTGATATCATGAAATCCTCTTGTCTTGCACTGCTTTTGCTCTGAAATTCATGGAGATTTAGTGCCTTTGAAATTGTTTTAAAAGGGAATGAAAAGTTTTTGAAGTCCTTTTTCTTCTTCTCTTTCC